ATAACATTGAAATACAAATTGGTGGTCACAATTGAGGGAACATACAAGAAAATTAGGTAAGAAAAGTCAAATAATCAAATATATATATAAGTAAACCCTTCAAGCTGTTGATAATGACAAATAAATCATATATCAGTATGAGCTAAAAAAGCAAAAAATATTAGATAAAAAAGAGATCCCACCATAGATTAGATAGATCTAAATATGATTTATTTATATATATTATTATTATAGGACCAAATGCAACTTTTCTAGAAGGTTAAATTCAAAAAAATATGAACTTTTTGAAAAATAAAAATAAAAATCGTAAATTTTTTAAATGGCCCTAGTGCTGACGCCATGCATAGGGGATCATTACGATTTAATGACAGCATTTAAATTTAATTTTTTTTAGTTCGTCTTCATTGGACGGTTTTGTAATTTTATTATTTTAAACAGATGCCGTCCAATAAATGCATATTTTTGTCTGCTTTGTGTTAGTTATTATGCAATAATTCATACCTTATACTATAATTTAGGTTTGGATATTAATATGTGTATTAACAATACAAAATAATATCACAAAATATATTTAAAACAATAATAATTATGTCTCAATTTCAAACTAGTCTAGCTAGGTGCATGAATCTTGGACTCATTTTTATGCCAATAATGTTCAAAAGCAATCATTCATACCACACTAAATTGCTATTCTACCTCCGTAATTTTTTATTACCTTTTTAGCGTTGGAGTTATGTTGATATCCTTCCATTAGGACACGACTAAATCATCACTTGTGCAACATTTCTCTCTCTATATAATAATAATCTACTTAGGTATGGTTTGAAGAATGTGTTAATGCATATTAGTAACTATATTAGTCTTAAAACATGATGTACCAAGTGCTAAAGTCAATTAGTATCATTCTTTGAGAAAGAATATGCTGAGAAAATCTGCTTCTACTTGAAATGTTGTTGCAATAAAAGCCCTATTTTCAAAATTCTGTAGTCAACTTCAAAGGTCATCAGCCAAGGCACAACGATGATCATACAACATACAATATAGTATAATGATGAAATAATTCAAGCGTCTACCATGCATCCTTATATATATATATATATTTATTTTTTATTTTTTATTTTTTTTATAGTAGTGTGTGTGGCGACTTTGTTGAGATCAAATGAATCGTAGAAAAATGAGATATAAATGAAAAAATAATTATCATTTCTTGATAGGATAAAAGTAATAAATATATTTAAGAAATTGTAGACAAATAAAATTAAACATAGGTGTAATAACGTAATTTCAACAATAAATGGGAAGAGACTGAAACTTACACATAAATCGCATTCGTTGAATGCGTTTTATGTCTTTCTTTCTTAGCTCAATTAATGTTGAGTATAAAATAAAAAAATAATTATATTTTCTCGATATGATAAAAATAATAAATAAAAGAAATAAATATGTTTTAAAAAGATTAGACAAATAAAATTAAACGAAATTTCATCAATAAATGGGAAGAGACTGAAACTTACACATAAATCACATTCATTAAATGTGTTTTATGCCTTTCTTAACAGAAGGGGTAATAACGTAATTTCATCAATAAATGAGAAGAGATTGAAACTTATACATAAATCACATTCGTTGAATGTGTTTTATGCTTTTTTTCTCAATTTAATTAATGTTGAGTATAAAATGAAAAAAAGAATTATCTTTTCACGATATGAAAAAAGTAATAAATAAATTTCAAATATTGTAGACAAATAAAATTAAATGGAAGGGATAATAATGTAATTTCAACAATAAATGGAAAGAGACTTAAACTTACACATAAATCGCATTCTTTTGAGGAAAAAAATCGCATTCATAGAATGCGTTTTATGCATTTAATAATGGAAGGAGTAATAATATAATTTCATCAATAAATGGGAAGAGACTGAAACTTACACATAAATCGCGTTCATTGAATGCGTTTTATGCCTTTCTTTCTCAGCTCAATTAATGTTGAGTATAAAATGAAAAAATAATTATCTTTTCTTGATACGATAAAACTAATAAATATATTTAAAAAAGATTAGACAAATAAAATTAAACGAAAGAGGTAATAACGTAATTTCAACAATAAATAGGAAAAGACTAAAACTTACACATAAATCGCATTCGTTGAATGCGTTTTATGCCTTTTATTCACGGAAGGGGTAATAACATAATTTCATCAATAAATGGGAAGAGACTGAAACTTACACATAAATCGCATTCGTTGAATGCGTTTTATGCCTTTCTTTCTCAATTTAATTAATGTTGAGTATAAAATGAAAAAATAATTATCTTTTCTCGATATGATAAAAGTAATAAATATATTTTAAAAAGATTAGACAAATAAAATTAAATGAAAGGGGTAATAACATAATCTCAACAATAAATGGGAAAAGACTGAAACTTACACATAAATCGCATTCGTTGAATACGTTTTATGCCTTTCTTAATGGAAGGGGTAATAACGTAATTTCATCAATAAATGGGAAGAGACTGAAAACTTACACATAAATAGCGTTCGTTGAATGTCTTTCTTTCTTAACTCAATTAATGTTGGGTAGAAAATAGAAAAATAATTATCTTTTTTTGATATGATAAAACTATTAAATAAAAGAAATACATATGTTTTTAAAAAAGATTAGACAAATAGACAATCCATTACCTATATCCAAGTAATAGTAGCAGCGATAGAGAGGAGTTAGAGAGAGGGCATGGTGGTAGGGGAAATAGGCAGATGAAATCAGTTATCCAACTTATGATGAAGCTGCTCTTACTTTAAGAGTTAGCAAACTCAATTTCCTCAACTCAGCAGCCTATTTCTGATTCTCCAAATATACTTTATTCACACCAGCCAGCCAATAGTATACACTTCTTTTCTGTATCGTTCCAACTTTATTTGAACATCCTCGCCAATATACAGTTCACAGTACTTCTTCTCCAATTTTATCGAATGTGCCCTGAGCCCCGAGGGATGAGGCAATAGCTCACACTACTCGATCATCCTCATCGAGCTCTGGTTTAAATGTTCAAAGCCAAGATGAATTACAACAAATAATTCTAGCCTTGTAGGATATCAGAATGCTAAACCTTTTATTACAATATTGTATTACATATCAAATTCAAACCATGTGTTGATATCCTGTTTTCTTTATGTTGTATCAATTTTTTAAAATCTATATAAGGTTTAGCCAGTATTGGTAAACTTCAGACCTGTGTTGTTATGTCGCTTCTTCTTGTATGTATATGTTCTGATTCTTTTAGCTTTATGTGCATATAAATGAACACAAACCAGATTTCATAAACAAAGGCTGATTTGAAATCATATGGCCAAACGCCTACTAAGAGCCGATAGATCAGATTGAGTGAGTTATTGTGGAACACTAATCTGATACCTATTTACAAACAACAAAATACTCGATACACAAGGAAAAGAGTTGATTGATTGATAAAATTTTATATGGTCCAAATATTACAAACTATGATGATCCTCAATCTGATCTCATCTTGTTAATCTGATTCAAAGCTGGTTGTAGAATGTTGTAAGCTACCCAAAGCAAAGCAGGTGTTACAACAATCAACAAAAGTTGTCCCCTGTTATCACTTGCTGCTTCTGCAATCATCGCAATATCGCTAGCCGCTGAGGCTTCTGGAGTGTTAAAGAAGCCTGTTGCTGCTAGCCCGGTAAGACCAAGCCCGATTATAATTCCTTGATTCCTCATTTTGTTGATTTGGTTCAGTGCTGGTTGAAGAATGTTGTAAAGAACCCAGGCTAGAGCCGGGATCAAAGGGAGCAACAGGGCTAATCCCCTGTTGTCTCCCCCTTCAGCTAATTCTGCGATTTGTTGAGCTGCAAATGCGGAGTCACATGAGCTAAGTGTTGAGAAAATGGCTCCTGCAATTGCGGTACCAGTGAGTGGGATGGATAAATTTGAGGCGTTTTCTGAGGATTTTGAAGTTAAGAGACCTTTGGGGAGGTTGTGGATGGAGAGAAGGGAGACGGGTTTCGGCTTTGATGGGTTGTTAATAGATGCTTTGGTGAAGCATTTGGCGTTGAGGACGGCCATGGTACCTATGGTAGCTGCCATTTTCTTTCTTTAGTTGGATTGAAAACTTGCAAAATGTGTGGTTGGTTAAATGTACATGTAGAAATATATAAAAAGAAGATAGACTCAAAGTGATTATAAATGAGAGAACCAATAAGAATGTGGTATTTTAGATTGTTCTCTTATCCACAGATAGTGATTTGGACAATATAGACCTCATATTTGATAACACACCAATGGTTTCTTATCTTCACTCTCTTTTTTCCAGCAACTAAACTAATTAGAAACTTCTAAAATTTTGGTCTAAGTTTCTTCATCTAGGCACTACTACAAGTTATTGGGCCAGAGAGTAAAATCCAATGGTTCCATTTTAAGGCCCAAGAGGAGAACTATGCCTTCTCAACAAACACGGTGAGATTAAATCGTTGTAGAAACTCATAAAACTTCAACCATCCATCTTTGATGACATTCAAAGTACGATTTTAAAGAGAGTAAAAGCAATAATCAATGTTACTATGTCAATGAATTATTATCAAGTGATCCTTTTAATTGGTTATGCATTACAGAATATTTTATGTATGCTTGAAGTATGTACTGCATGGCCTATGTATTTACTATTTTAGTTAGTAACAATGTTTCGTTTAAGATCAAACCGAGCTTTATCAAAGACTTGGGCATATTGGTTGGTTATAGAGTTTGATGAAAACACATTCAGTTCATTTACTTGACGATTCCTTCGTTTGGGTACGATCAAAAAAAAAAATTACTTTTGGCACGTTTTAGTAGAGTGCTTCAGTCGGACAACACGATATTAAATGAACAAGGCACAAGGAGATTTAGAAAGGCATCGCCTGTTTAGATAACACTTCTCCAATATATTATAATATGTAGTGGACTACATTCAACTTATGGACAGCATGTACAACACTAGGAATCTTCCAAGAAGCTGCCCAGGAGACACTCAAGAGTCTAACCCTGATTCTACTGAAAGGAACTATGAGATTTCAACTCAACAACATCTGGCCAAATAGACGACTCACATTTGATTATCCGATTCCATGGAGCGTAACCATGAGAAATATTCTGGTGTCTGATTGAACACAGGATCTGTACCACTGGGTGGTGTAATTCTTTTCCGCATAATTGACTCAAAAAGAGTAGGCTCTCTCTTCCTACCACCTCTTGGTCTAGATAGGAATTGCTCATCAGTCTCTTCAAAATCTCCCTATAGAAGACAACCAAAACACCTTAAGTCAATCATGAATATTAGAAACAAAACTGATCCGAATGACATAATGTGCATTCAAGTAACAAATACATTTTACTTACAGGAGTATAAACATGGCAGCCTGATTGTTCATGTTTATCTCTCACATGCTTGAAGGCAAATTTCATACCACAACCAGATATACTACATGAGAATGGTTTAGCTCCCACATGCACGGCTTTGATGTGTTGAGCAAGATTTGACCTCTGTATTTTCAAGCAACAAATAAAGGTTAATACTGTTGCTCAACAACTTGAAGGAGATGGCTTTGGTTAAGGTTAAAAGTTGTTGCGTAGCTGTCTATGTATTTCTCCTCGGACTAGTAATGAATTAGCCCATTGCTTTCTAGATTGTTTACACTACTGTTCCATATAACAGAAGAAAACTTCAATTACATATAAGAAATTGTAGTAGTCCTTACTGTGGAGAAAGTGTGCGGGCAATCCTGGAATTTACATTTTATTCTCTCTGATATAGGCCCTTCTTCATGTGTGCGAAGATGCCGCTTAATATTCTTCTTCAATTGCTTGGTCCCACATATTTCACACACAATGTGTTGGTGGCAACTCTCTATGTGTTCCTTGAGGCATTTCTCATTTGTGAAGTGTTTCATACACCCTGGCTCTAAACACATAGCCTCGACAGTCTCCAGCTTAACTGCAGTGATACAATGGCAAATTATAGTCAGCTTATTAGAAGAGTCTTCAATACTAGATAAGTAAGAAATATCAATACTTCACAGTAGATTTTTGAAATTTGACTTGCCATGAGAATCTTCATGTTTCTTTAATTTGGATGCATATTTAAACACCTTTCCACATCCAGCTTCAGAGCAGACATATTCCTCTGGAAGATCAACCTCTGCGGAGGCAGATTGGTCATGCATCTCTTTGGCATGCCGAGTCATGTTGCCTTGAAAACTGAATGTGCTTTTGCAGCCATCAACAGGACACTTAAACAACTTCCCTTGGTGCAGCAAGAGATGTCTCGACAAGTGATCCTTTCTACGGTAGCTAGACTGGCAGTCATCTATATGACATACGAATGGTCTCTGTTCATGCAAAATATCAACAAGAAAATATTTTAAGAAAGTTTCAATCTACAGGGTCCTAGACCAAAGTGCACTTATGCTAATGGAGAAAAATGGAAAAGTTATCTTTTTGTATTTGGGGAGGAGGGGAACTGGGAAGAGTCTCGAACCACAAAGATTATAAGGCGTGATTGAGGCTCACTTGATGGAGCTTCTCAGGAGGTCCCCCTTCCTGATACTAATCCAGTCAAGGAAATATACCTGCCTCTTGCATTTTGGAGTTCTTTATTTGGGATCCAATGCGTCACACCTTCACATAATTCCACAATGTTTCTCAAAATATCTCAATCTGCAAAGTCATTAGTATTAAATGCATCCATAGACAATAAATCAGAAGATATAACTAGTACACTAAGACCTGTAAAAGATGTGCAACAACAAAACATACCTCGAGTGAATGACTTTGCATATGCTGCTTCAAATGAGCAGGCTTCTGAAAACTCACACCACATTCCTCACAAATATTCATTCTTGAGCCCTTCGCATTTTCAGTTGCTTCATCTTTCCTGCTCTCGATTTCATCCTATTAGTAAAAACAACCAAACATTTCAGCATTACTTTCCTCTCAACTAATCAAATCAGTACCTCTCTCCAAATACACAATTTAAGCTCAACCACAATAAATCTTTGATAATATGAACCTATGACAAGCAAATAATAGCTCCTAAACAACAATTACACTAGTTTAACATTGAAATCCAAACAAATCAGGTCATGCACCATTAAAACAAACTCTTATCGCCTTTCAGCTCTGGCTAATGAAACTAATAATTACTGATTATCAACTTTACCCTAAAAGCGAGCTCAGAAAAAACAATCACGATAGTAGATCTATACGAACAGCTCAGATAACAAGTAGACAAAAATGAAAGCAGAAAAAACGAAAATACATAGAAAAAAACGTACTTGATGATGAGACTGAATATGAGAGGAAATTAGGGATTTCTTCGAACGGCAAAGGCCACAAAATTCACAGTAATATCTTCTAATGTCTCTAAATACTACTTCTCTTTTCTCTTCTCCCATTGCGCCCAATTTTCAGCCACGAATATCACAAACCCTAGTTTTGGTCGACTGTAGAATTTAGCTCCTTTTATAGTCGCGAAAAACTTGAAAATTGTTTGAACTCCCTCTAACTTCTGAAATATGATACTTTCACCCCGCCAGGTTTTACTTCATCAAGTTTTGCCACGAATTAATTAGTGGTGTTTGTTTGGACACTTTAGGGGGGAAAGTAACATTATTCAAAGTTTGAGACATCCTTTTAATAGTAATAATAATGGAATAAGCCTTTTTTTAGTTGAAGTAATTAAATTTTTTTTTTTGTGATTGAACAAATCTACACTATTAACGGAGGCTCAATAGGAGCATATTAGACCCGATTTGAGGTTCAATAAGACAATATATGTGAGTCAGACGAATATACTTAAAAGGGGAAATTAAGCAAATATCTCATAAAAATAAAATAATTATAAATATATCTCTCTTTATATTTATATCCCACTAAATAATTAGACTATATACTCATCAATTAATTTCGCTTAACTGATACTAAATCAGTATCCTATACTGTTTTGATATCATTAAAGGTGATAATTTTGCTTAACTGATACTAAATCAACGTCACATAGGTGAATACTTTTCATATGTGCTAACCGCCTTCCCTTGTGCTTACACCATTTGTTTGTGAATGCTCTGGTTTGCTCTTTGTCGCGCTACTTCCACTAGCAACCAGCTTCGGATTCTCTTGAAGGCACCATGTGAAGTAGGGATTTAAATAGAAACTCTATTTTGGGGCTCAGTGTTACTCCTCTCCCCGGGCTCGCTCTGCTCTATGCCCAAAGCTTCAATTTCGAATAAAGAAATCAAGAATATTGTTTCCTGATATCTCAATTGGTCAAATTCAAAATCAAGTGTATCCTTTCGATGAATGATCGAAAGATTGAAATGGATTTAGAACCATAATTTCTAACTATTATATGTTATCAATCTTATGAAGTGTTTGAAATTGTTGGTTGATTCTCAAGCAATTTGTGCAGGTGGTACCGAGATCTAAAGAAGTTGAGCATATTTGCTCTTTTCTATGGTAGTTTGTAGGGAAAGGAAATAAAATCCACTGGATACCCACAGCCAGCTCAATACTGCAGCAAAACAAAGCTAGTTCTATGCTTATTTTGTTGTAAAATGGAACCACTTTTGCTGCACTGAAGATACCATATGTCAATGAGTCTTCACATGGCCAGAACTTCGTAGTGTTGAGAAGTCCAATCGATTCAGTTCTGCTTTTGAGCTATGATTATATGGTTCAAACATCTGGTTCAAAAATCAGCAAGCACACGTTCAAGGTGCATTCGGAAACTAGAGTAGTCTTGAGTAGAAGGACAAATTCTATTGACAATAACAGAATCCAATTTCATTCACTGGAAGCAACACAAAGAAACCTGCATTACTCCAAAAATATCATACCCGACACCATTCTATTCCATATTGCCATGGCAGTTGTTTCTGCACAGTTGTGCCTGGATTTGAAAAGGATCTTCAATCATCCCTATATTATACAAGTCACAAGCATCAAGGAATAGTTATCATCTCACACTTCCACAAATTTTCGCTTCCTCAGTTGAACCAAATCCAAATAAGAAATAACAGTGTTCCAATTCAGAAAAAAGCAAGATGAAGATGGGATTATGTCAGCCACTTTCTAGTAAGTTGGTGATTATAATGATGTTGTTAAAGCTAGCCAATAGGTGCTTACCACTATGATTATACCAGCTTTTTCCCATTCACAATTTAACAGATTGACTTAGAAGGTAAAAATGCAAATTAACAAAATCTGGCAGAAACGGAACTGGAACATGCATTTATCAGATATGAACAACGTGAAGAGCTGCAACGCTAGAGATTATACATAATTGAAGACAAGGAGGAATCCACAATCTTTAAGCACAGGCACCAACTGAAATAACAAAGGTTCTTGGCAAGTACAGCGAAGCACAAATACATAATTTTCTGTCAGTTTGCAGAAAATTTCAGCTTACAATACCTACACTCTCTTTGCTGATTTCCATCTCAGAAAGCCATCAGCTTTGCCTTAGAGAGAAGTAATCATTCTAGTTCATATTGTCATTGTCCTCGTGATCAGTAAAACTCTCTAAAATTGGAATAACAAAGTCACCCTCTCTGCTTTCCCATCCATTTTCATCGTCTGTCATGTCTTTAGGTTCATCCTTCAGTTCCCTTTCAGTTTTCAATTCACTCGTATGACGGTTTCCTAACAAGAGAAGATCCAACATATTTCTTCTCAAATCATAAATTGGGTTCGGCTCAATCAAACACCCTTTACTATATGCTTCTCTAAGAAAAACAATCTCAGCAATCCCTTTAGTGGATATGTAAAATATCCCAGGATGCTTCAACAACAACTCACGAATATTAACTACAATGCCGAGGTCCTTCTTAAAATGTGCCAACCTTTCAACTGGCACCGACTTCTCAACAGTCAAGCTCAAAACTTCATGAATAATCGCCACAGCTCGCTTCTCATACCGCTCAACACCTCCAAAAGTACGCTTCCCAACAACTGCTGACCTCGACGTTAACTCATCACATCTTGAAGATGGCTCCATGGTTTCAGTTGTTTGAGGATTCAAGTGATACGTGAGTTCTCTTTCGTAAGGCTTAACATAAGGAAGTCTTTGCCAATTTTTCAACTTCTCCCTTGAACCTGGTTCTATCTTAAATCCAGTAGGGAAATGAATAGGAAATGCATATTTGACCTCAAATTCACTCAACCATTTCTCAGTATACTCCTTTTTCCTCCAAGATTCAACCTTTGCCACCCCAAAACTCCCATCTTTGTCATTTCTATCAATTAATTCAACAACCTCTAAATCTACCATCCTAAAAACTTCATCATACTTAATTATTATCGAGTCCCGGAAGTTTTCAGGCAAACCCAATTCAGTCCTCAACAATCTAAGAGCATGCAAATGTATTGTCCCATTCACAGACATCATTAAAATTTTCCTTATTCTCATTACATTTTCATCTTCATTTTGTGATACAACATCATCTTCTTGATTCAGCAAATGACGAATTTCTCCCTAAACTTGCAGCATAAATTTCGCTTAATGGGGTGTGTAAATACCTCGAAAATATGGGGATATTTCCGGAGAAGATCACCGGCGGTAACGGTTTTAATGCCGGCATGTGGGGCCCATTTGGAGAGTGACTGAACTGAGAGAAAAGGACCGCGTTTTCTTGCAGATACGACGTCGTAGAGGTTGAGGATGAGCTTGAGTCTCCGGTAGTGTGCTGTGAGTTTGTCGAGATTCGGGTCGCGGGTCCGGTTTTCCAGGCGGGTTTGGGCAGTGTTTGCCGGTTTCTTCCACCGGATTTGAGTTGTGGAATTGAAAGGACCAAATGAAAGTGGAGTGTTTGATGCCGGATTCTTCCATCGGAGTTGTAAAGTTGTCATTTCTCTGTCACACGACGGCGGCCGGTGCAGGGAAGGCCATGGCCGTGAAAGATGGAGACTTTATAATGGGAATTTGGTTTGGGAAAATTGTAAAGAAGGGAACTAGTGGAGTCCGACTAATTTAAGTATGTAAGAGATTTTAAAATAGGGAAAAAGGGTGTCAAATTGTATATACATTATGACCATTTTTGACACTTTCTGGCTAGCACTTCCGCCACCGTTAACTGGCGTTCCAGAAAAGAAACCCCAAAACCAGAGAGATGGCTCCACTGTTCACCATCATGACTCCTCCCGCTACTCGTCTCTCTTTTCATTCATCATCAACTTCTTCGGCGTTTGCTCACTCATGTTAGTACCTTTGTTTAATTATTTGAATGACCTCTCTGTATGTCTATTAATTTTGTGTTCTAGTTGTTTCTACAGAGATTATTGTGGGATTCTAAATTTTGGGTTTTTCTTCTGTTTGCATTTGTTTTTTGCTCTCTTAACTTTAGTTGTTTCCTGGTAAAGTTTGTTACTTTTGGATGATTCGATTTAGGTCTTTACCAGAATACTAATGAGTTAACCTGTTATCATCCCCTACCTTATCAATTTGGATTTTGGGGATCTATGCTGCTCGGACTCTCCAAAAATGTTGGCGCCCTCGCGTTAGATACTCCAAAAAAGCACTATTTTTGGAGGATCTGATATGCACCCTGCACCCATTGGTATTTTTTTGAGGAGTTCTAGCAGCTTAGGTGGGGGATTACCATTGTACTCAACACTTTGTAACAGTGTGTGCAAACTTGAAATTAATATATGTTATTAAAGTTTTTCACCATATATATGTAATAGCAGTTGTACTGGCTGAATCTGCTGACGTAAAGGTGCACCCACCACTGTTTATCTGAAAAATGTTATTGTTGGGGGCAGAGACAAATTCAAAATTTGAAGTTGAAGGTCCCTATATCGATCTCAAGTTAAAACTACAATAATAATTGTCTTTACAGTCATATATACATGAACCTGTAACCAGGCCTCTCGATCCATCCCGGGGGCAAGAATGGGGTAGCAGATCAAGACCTACCTTTTATGTTCTGCATCTTAACAATCTGCAAAATTTGAGGTTGATGTATCTTTTTATGTGATTGCTGTTGCCTTTTGTTCATCCTTCTCTAGTGAGGCAGTCCTAAACCGTTCCATGAAATACTCCCATCTTCATCATCATGCATGTGCAACATCTTGACTGTTCATGTTATACACCATAAGAGGTTCTTAACTTTATAATTGATTCTGTATTAGTCTCCAGGTTTTGCAACGATCCCATTGCTTGGCAACCAAAGTCACATATCAGTTACTATATTCGAGCACCATTTATCTACAAAGTGAGAAGTGTCTTGATTGCTAAGGCAGTTTCTGATATTGATAGCGGGGATTCTGATAATCTGGAGTGCGATGAGGAAAGTTTGTCTGTTGATAGCCTGCAATTGGAGTCTAAGCTTCAGCTGAAGCTTGAACAGAAGATGAAAATGAAGTTGGCAAAGAACATTAGATTAGGAAGAAACTTGTCAGGAAGCGCCGCCTTAGGAAGAAGGGGAGATGGCCACCTTCAAAGTTGAAGAAGAACAAGAATGTGTAGTCTTTACCACACAATTCACCTTTTTGTAACCTTGACATCAATGTCTTCAACTTGTAAATAAACAAATAAGGATTAATTAGCTTCTGCTTTTTTTATGGTATAGATTTGGTACTATTAGGGGTCGTTTGGTGTGACGGATAAGAATAAATAGTCATGGGATAAAAAAATAGTCCTGGGATAATATTTTGATTGCTTGTTTGGTTGTCATGTTTGGGATAACTTATCCCACCTTTTATACCATAGTAATGGAATAAGGTATCCCATATACATGGTGGGATAAGTTATCCCAGGATAACTAATCCTGGGATAACCCATTCCCAACCAAACAACTTTGTACTTGTTTTAGTTGATACTTAAATAGAGAAGGCTCTTTTTCTTCCTTTTAATGTTGATATGGAATATTTACATGGAAAGAACACTTTGAGACAGCTAGACTGTCAATCAACAAGTTGTGATTTTGTGCTAACTGGAACTTTTCATTGTTTGCTTTTGCTCCCTGTCCACTTGCTCACTTTCTTGATTTTTCTGGAGGTCAACATGGGGGTTGTAGATGTTTGCATTAGAGGTTATCAAAGTGAAAACATTCCCCTTTGATGTAATTGATTCTGAGCTATGTTGCTCGGACTGTTAAAAAATGTTGACTAGTGCACTTTTGAGTACAGGCAAAATAGGTTCTGAATATGTGGAACAGTTGTACCGACTCAAATTAGTTAAAGCTGTAAAGGATATATGAATCGATGGAATGCAAAGGAAGCTTAAAAACCTTTTCTTATCAATCATTCATCTAAAGATTTGCCCATTCTCTTCGTTTAATCTGTTAGGGACAGAGATGGAGAATGTTTCAAAAGAAGTTCATTAACAAACGCCTTAAAAGTGCAACAGAAAAAACTACTAAAATGAAAAACACCAAGAACTGAAGAACCATAAAAACTAAATGAAAGTGATATTATTCTTTATTGGCATTTTCTGTGATAACAGTTTTAGAATGAAGATTCAAGATCAGAAACAGTTGTTACAGTCCTAATGCTGATGGATTTTCTTAACAAATCAAATGAAGTGAATGAATATGGTAAGAGTGTAACATCCATGTTTTCGCTAACTTCTCCGAGCATTGTCTTAACTGGTGATATCTGCATAAATAACAGAACACTATTTCAAGGAAAGCAGTCACCAAATCAAACGAAATGATCAGATAAAAAAGTTGCATGTACCTTTTTAGGATCTGTGAAAGAATTCTCATCCATCACATTGCTAGATGTTAATATAGTTTTTGTTGCCCCAGAGGACTGCAATGACAATCCACTGATAGAGATATTAAGAGTAACTCTGCTGCTCCCAAAGTTCACAACCTGCAAAAAAAGTCGCGTGTTGAAAAGAAAAAAAAGACAAATGAGTCACGAAATTATAGATGGAGATGAAGTTGTGTATCTGCAAAATGAACATCAGTTGATTATAGCAAGTATGAACTCAGATTGAATCTATTAAAGAAACATAAAAGACAAATCCTCATTATGATTCTGAGCACTATAACCTCTAAAACAAAGAGAAATCTTAGTTTGTTAGTCCATCTAGTTTGTTCACAGAGATGTCTGAATCTATATAATGTAAGTCCTGAGAGGCACTAATGATAAACGTCAAGAAAAACTTCATACCTTTATTCTTAAGTAGTTGTTGTTATCAGTTTCATTTTGCCAGGTGATGGCAGATGCCATTAGTGCATTCGAAGGATTAGCTTGGAGTGTTGAAGTTAGAAGAGTTGCTCCATTTGACTCTTTGAAGAAGTGCTGCATCCAATAACTAGGGGTTCCATACGCCTGTGAAGAAGTGAAAACAATCGCATCTGCTGTCCACCTAAACAAAAGGACATTATTTTGCAGTGATATCCAATTTTGAAGAAAAAGGAGAATAAGAAATCAAACTTACGTCCAGTCCTTGTCGTTAACGAATAGGGGTGCATAACTTGCCATTTCAATCACATCACTGCACGAGGATAAATAAATGTTATCGTCAAACAAAGAGATCACACCATAAATTTTCCACGCTTTGAAGTTTTATCCTTATTATTTTACCTTAACATATAATGTCGAGATACGTAGGTTGATATATATTCCTAAAAATGATAAGTACCTGTTTTTTTCTGCTCCAATAAGGAATGCAGCTTCAGCCAGTGCAGCTAAAAGACTACCCTTT